GTGTGTGTGTGTGCATGCATACATTTTATATATACAGTATATATACCTGTATGTATATATACATCCGAAATATTGACTCTCTTCCTATGTTGAAAACTCATCTCAAAACCCACCTACTTAAAATTGCATATACAGTTTAAACTCATCGCTTTTTATTATTTATAATTTTATCTGTGGTTTTATTGCTCTTTTTGATTGTAAAGTGTCCTTGGGTATTTCGAAAGGCGCTTATAAATAAAATGTATTATTATCATGATATGCTTCGGTCCCATTTCATGTAAATTGGTTGCCGAACAGATCCAATTTTGTGGGATTTCCAGTTTGCTGGATCTCAGATGACCCACCATGATGGCTAATATTTCCCGTCATTTCCAACAATCATTTGATGAATTTCATCACTTGCAAATCCCTCCGAACAGTGAAATATGTGCTCTTTACTACATCATATGCACTTTTAGAATTTATGGAGTGGTTTTTTTTTTCATTTTTAATGATGAACCTTTTCAGGGACAGTGGTTACTACAGTGGACAGCTTATAATGTTATCAGGTTACAGGGCGCATGAAAGGGTTACTTTCCTTTTCTTTTTTTTTTCCTATGCATGCCTATTATAAAAACATTCCCGAGGCCAAACACAGGTGGGGCAAAAGTGTGTCACATAACACACACTATTAGTTTTGCTTTGACTTGACTCCCTCGTGACTATGCGTGCGCACAGTGATGAAAATGAACGAAATGCTCTGGCTAGAGCAGCAGAGGCAATTTAGCGTGACATAGCACGAGTTAAATTTTGTAATCTGTTGTAAGAGAGAGATACACAAGAAGAATACAGTAGTGATCAAAATCCCAGTGGCAGTCACGTGAATCGAGCCAACAACCCCAACCAAACTCCCCCACTCAAAGGAGCAGAAAACGTGCACAGGGATGACAGTAAATTGAAATGGGAACGTAGAGATAAATCTCTCTCTTTCTCTCTCTCTCTCTCTCTCTACGAGTAGGCTGAACTACATGGCCGAAGGAGGCAAGGAATGTGAAGAAATGTGACAGAGAGACAGTGAGAGAGATAGCGAGGGTAGGAGACAGAGGGAGAGAGAGAGGGAGAGGGAGAGAGAGAGAGAGAGAGAGAGAGAGAGAGAGAGAGAGAGAGAGAGCTAAATTAAGTGGAGTGGGATGCTCTGGATGTCGAAGCAGTTCTTTTGGGGGGGGGGGGTTTCCTCTCGCTCGGCGACACTCCTTTTGCTCTGTTACGCTGTCTCAGCAGAGCTGATCATAGGAAAGAATTCAGCCGACCACAGATGGATCACTGGCACATTGCACGGATGAAATCACACGATCGCCACCAAATCATCCTTGAGATGATGATGATGCATTGGACGGAACGCTAACAAGGACTGAGTCAAAAATCAAACAACATACGGACACTGCTGGACCGACTTAAGGCAGCATGCGGCTTGTCTGAGAACGGGACTAAATATAGCAAGTGAATGATGATCCTGGTCGAAAATTGCAACAATTCAAGGGGACGCATCCTCCAAGAGTGCAAGCAAAGAAGTGAAACTCGACTCAGTTGGCTAGTTTGTCTATTTCAGTTAGCGATGATTTACCTTCCGTCGTATTTGCCCCTCGCTTGTGGTGAGCGACAATGGATCAAGAGCACATTGAGCATCAATGAAAAGAACTACTTTTTCTTTCGATGGGCCCGAATTCACTTGTAGTCCGCGTGGAGGTGCAATGCATAGGCTTTCAAGTGGCGCACCAGCTCCCTCGGGACATACATGGCGTTTCCAGTGTTCGGTGGGAGTGGACTGTAGCGACGCAGAGCCTCGCTGTATCTGGTTGGCGGTATTAAGAATTCTTTCGCCACAGCCAACCCCGATCTCGTCACCAAGAAAACCGGCATCCATGCGGATAATAAAGCACAGACGTTTGTCTTGGGTAAGACGGCGTGTTTGAAATGGTTGAAAGCAAATATTTCAATAGATTGTGATTAATGCTGAATGTTTTAGGGAAACAAGAGGTTTGAAAATGTAATATTTTAATATTATGGTTTCAAAAATTCGAGAAAAAAATGGTGCACTTGCAGTTAAAATCTTTCTTGAAGGAACTCAACATCATTGAGGTTTTACAGTGAGGTTTTAACTAGATGATGCATAGCAGAGTCAGCCTTGTTTGGAGTTTTTAATGATATAAATGACACTGGAGACTATGTATCTCGCTTTGTTGGATCTGACAGCAGCGTACGAAACGGTGGAGCAGAGTTTTGTGTTGGCTCCTTTTACAGTACGAGATGGGCATGAGTGGTAGCGCTTGAAAGTGGTTTTGATCCTATTTGGCAGGCCGGACTTTTTGTGTAAGATTTGGTTGTTCTGAGTCCCACTCTGCTCTTTTTATTATATGGTGTTCCACAGAGTTCTATTTTGGGGCCCCTGCTGTATTTGGTTTCTTTCAACAGTGTGTGGCAAACGGTAACAGCGTCTGACGAAATGAAACTACACGTGCCTCCCAATTTCTGGATCCCAGGTCAAACGTACTGGGATAGAATTTTGTTTTTCCATCATAGGCGGCGCTACATAGCTTTTTGTTTTTGCTACAGCATTCAGGAAAGATGATGAGCCGTATAGCCCTCTCCTCAGCTGGTATCTCGTCACCATCAAAGTCTTTTGTCATCATACGGTCGCCATCCGAACGATTTTACATAACAGTGTCTTATGTTTGATTTTCGCGATTCACAAAATGACTAACAATCAGTGTCTTTCCTCTTGATAGGCTAAAGGACTAAAAGATAACTTGGTGTCATCCAATGAGCATCGTCGCCGACCACTATCATCTGGCAACATGGAAGGCATGTCATGGTGTGGCCTGCAGACCGTTTACCTCCAGAAGGACTTGCAGGGATTCGGTTTCACTCTGCGACATTTCATAGTTTACCCACCGGAGTCATACCTCCACAACTCCAAGGTACCGTAAGCAGATTACAGATTCTAGTTTTTATCTTGTAGAATGACCGAATCAACCGCAATCCCATCTGGGCCCAGGTTGATCAATTTGTTTTTGTTTTGGAAGAGGAGTTTAAGTTAAACCTGCAAGTCAAAATTTGGTGTGCCTTGCAGTGATGTTTTTATTTAACTTATGTTGAACAAGTACAACATTGGTCTCATCAAACAATGCAAATATTGCAACACTACTGCGATGAATTAATCGTCCTCTCCCCTACTCTGTTCTTTCCAAAGGTTGAAGAAAATGGAAACGCAGTGAAAACATGTGAGTGCCACCTTTAAAATGAAGTAATCCGTTATTAAGTTATTCTTAAAATAATTAATCAGTAAAACATAAAAGTAGTGCCTTTGCTACATTATCGCTCACTGTGAGTTAAAATTGGCTCTGAAACAAGTACTGAGGAGCAAAAAGTAAAAGATAGCTGATGAATAAATATTTTTTAAAAAACAGTAGGACCACTAAAACTTCGAAGACTGCGACTGTACATTTTTTTTTTCCATCTCTTAAAATGTCACACAAATGCTGGCCGGCTGGGTTGACCCGACCTGTCATAATCCAAATAATTCTGGACCAAACTGTTCATCAAGCTCAAACTTGTGCTTTGTCGATGCTTTGTTCAGTTTCGCTGCACTGATTATGGATGCATTATCAATGGCTGTTAATGTGTGTTCGACGCAGGTGGTCAGCAGTGTCATTTGGAGGCTGTAGACACCATTTTTGTGAAGAGCGTGAAAGAAAATAGTCCTGCTCATCGCGCTGGGCTGTGCACCGGTAATTGACTCCAACTCATCACATGGGCTGTTTCAAATGTGTCGCATTTCTTCACCCTATTATTTCATTGTGGGTCAAAGTGACCAGTTTTTAAATTGGAAAAAATATTTTGTGTGTGTGTGTGTGTGTGTGTGTGTGTGTGTGTGTGTGTGTGTGTGTGTGTGTGTGTGTGTGTGTGTGCCTCTCAGGTGACAGGCTAGTCAAAGTCAATGGGGAAAGTATTCTAGGAAAAACCTACTCTCAGGTGATTCGACTCATTCAAAACAGGTATGTGGATGGTCTGCGCAAGTGAGACAAACATCTGGTTTCGTTTGCGTCGTCTCTGAATTATGTTGGTTCTGTCTCTGTGTTGTTGTAGCGAAAACAATTTGGAGCTATCTGTCATGCCAAAAGATAAAGATGTCCTGCAATTGATAAGTGTGAGTATTCATCTTTCTCCTTCCTTCTCACTGCGCATTGTGAATCCGCGTGTGTGTGTGTGTGTGTGTGTGTGTGTGTGTGTGTGTGTGTGTGTGTGTGTGTGTGTATAAAATATGTGTAACATCAAGCTAACCCTAACCCTTGGAGGATATGCTTACAGACTGTTTTCTGTTTGCTTCATTTGCTCCATGTTTAGTGGAGTACACACCATGTCACTAAAAAGCACTACAGGTATAACGACTTGTAACCCTTTAAATAGGTTGACTGATTATTGACTGATTACCACTTGGCCATGGAACAGCGGAGCGGCCACTTGTCCCATTACTTTTGGTCCCTAAAAAAGTGAGGGGGCACATCTACAAACGGTTGTAATTATTCCACCATTCACCTGATTTGGATATAAATATCTTTAAAATAAAGCTGAAAGCGGCCCGGTGGTCCAGTCATTAGCGGGTCGACCTCACAGTGCAGAGGTATCGGGTTCAATCCCAGCTGCGGCCTACCTGTGTGGAGTTTGCATGTTCTCCCCGGACCTGCGTGGGTTTTCTCCGGGTACTCCGGTTTCCTCCCACGAAATTGGTTTCCTGGTATTGATGGATGACCTGGGTGCTGAGAAAAGAAGCAACATAAAATAAAGCTAAAAGTCTGCATTTCAAGGTGATTTGGTTTGCTTCATTTCAAATCCACCGTGGCGGTGTATCGAGACAAAAAGATCAGAATCGTGTCAGTTTCCCAATTTTTGTGGACCTGACCATGGATGTTCATTCGCGTCTGCTTCAATCCCCTTTCAATGCTCCTTTTTCAACTCTCTCGACCTCCCTCAATAACATTGCCTTCACTCTGTCTGTCCTTAGGCGTACTCTCAGGAGGCCTGCTTCAGAGTCAATGGTACTCCGGTTTCCTCCCACGAAATTGGTTTCCTGGTATTGATGGATGACCTGGGTGCTGAAAAAAGAAGCAACATAAAATAAAGCTAAAAGTCTGCAGTTCAAGGTGATTTGGTTTGCTTCATTTCAAATCCACCGTGGCGTTGTATCGAGACAAAAAGATATAAGAATCGTGTCAGTTTCCCAATTTTTGTGGACCTGACGATGGATGTTCATTAGCGTCTGCTTCAATCCCCTTTCAATGCTCCTTTTTCAACTCTCTCGACCTCCCTCAATAACATTGTCCTCACTCTGTCTGTCCTTAGGCGTACTCTCAGGAGGCCTGCTTCAGAGTCAATGACACATTTTCAATCAAGGACCTCCATGAGCCCCCCCTTCGTTATTGTTCTTCCACCAATCCAAACTCCATCGCTTCACAGCTAAGTCACAAATTTAGTAGCGTCCTGGACAACTGTCAGTGCAGACCCAACCCGACAACCTCACCAATGGACAGGCGCCACGTTGTTGCTTCAACAAACCACTGGACGAAAACACCTGAAGAGGTCAGCGATAACTTTGTCACAACAGCGAGGCACCGTGGACGCTCCTCCTCAGCCATCAGTGCACTCGACTTTCACTTTGCCAACCACAACGCTGCCATCGCCTCGGCATCTCCACCACGCAAAAGCAGTCTGCCCGCCTCTGGTCATATTCATACTGATTCACTCTACCACCGAGCCTTGTCAGACTGGTACTGCTGCCAAGCTGAGGTTGCTGAGCACCCGGCCACTCGCCGTTGCAGTATCCCTCAGGGAGTGTACTCTGGCCCGACATATGCTGCCACTGTCTCTGCAGAGACCAAAAGGCCAGAGACCGTCTTGTCTCATCATCAAACCGCTGCAGCTTTTCATCATTCCTACTTGCTTGGGGAATGGAGCGGTATTTCCAGAGCGGGAAGTATGCCATGCTCGGAGAGTTTGCTGGCAGCGTATGCAAAATATGAGTACAACTATGGCCGCTCTGTTGAAACACTAGAAAAAGCCTCTGCAATGGTCCCGCTGTACTCAGACAGTTCTTCAAAATTCAGCCAACAAAACGTTCAGAAAGACACAGGAGAGAATGAGCATCAAATCAAAAAAGCCACAGTCTCCTCCACGGTGTCTCCTTGTAGGAAGCAATCAGGTCAGCAGGTAGCTGAACCTCAAACAAGGCGAATGACAGACGACGAGTTGGCCAGTTACAAAAATGGCAGCCCAACAATGTCTCGCGAAAGTCACCGTCTCCCCCAACCTGCACAGACCTTAAAAGAGCCAAGCAAATGTGGCCCAGACCTCAGTTCCAGTCCAGACGGCAGAAGGAATGCTGCCATCGGTGAAGTACAACAGGTGACACAATCACAATGGACGATCACCCAACCTGCATCAGAGGACAGAACTCAGATGGGGTGCAATAGAGATGTCATCTCGCCGATCTCTCTAAAGCGGCCTTTGTGTCACAGGACCCTTGCCCAAACTCTTATAAGTCCCCAATCCCCTGAGTCATTGAGTGAAAGCCCCTCTCCTGTTTCTGTTGGTCCTGGCTACAGTCGCAACACAAATGGCAGCCTGGTGCAGCAGGCGTACAACTCCCTGTCCTCCATTCCCTTCATAGGTTTGTGTTCATTTGTTAAATTTTACGTAAATCTTTGTTTCAATTATACCTCAGAAGGTTATGAGTCATACAATGCCCACAAAAAAATGTCTACCCATCCACCCATCCATTTTCTGATCCGCTTATCTTCACAAGGGTCAAGGGTAAGTAGGCGGGGTACACCCTGAACTGGTTGCCAGCCAATCACAGGGCACACATAGACGAACAACCGTTCATGCTCAGAATCACAGCTTGGGACAATTTGGAATGCTCAATCATCCTGCCACGCAAGTTTTTGGAATGTGGGAGGAAATCGGAGTACCCGGAGAAAACCCACGCAGGCACAGGGAGAACATGCAAACTCCACCCAGGAGCTGGAATCAAACCCTGCGCCTCTGTGCTGTGAGGCGGACGTGCTAACCAGTTGGACACTCACCGTGACGCCCCACAAAAATACCCATGACTAATTATATGATATTATATTAACGGTACAGACAATCCCCAATACTGTTTCCACACACACAATTAGAAAGGAAGTCGGTGCACAAAGTGACAATAATAACATTAATATCCCAATGCAACATTTTCTGCCATCTGTAGCACGTCTGCCTCACAGCGCAAAGGTGCAGGGTTCGATTCCGGCTACTGTGTGGAGTTTGCATGTTCTTCCCGTGCCTCCATGGGTTTTGTCCGGGTATTGAAGGAAAGAAATCAGTGCAAGACCGCGCTGGTATTCCTGCGAGTGCACGCCACATTGTCTGACTTCTGTCTCGGAATGGTTGTATTGCCTCGGTCGTGGTGGTTTCTCCAAAATCTAATTACAGGTCCACGAAGCGGTGAGAGAGGGATGATTTTTTTGATGATCATTTCAAAACTCACCGTCTCAGTGCCACTAGCCATACTTGACACGTTTTGACTGCGTTATATGATGTCATTGTCGTGATAAGAATGCAAGAATATGAAAAAGCTGTGGCAAGTGTGTATGATAAATGTATTTTTTTTAATGTGTTTTTTGGAATACATTGTGTGATCATTGTACCCATTGTGTCTTACTCTTATTTTTTGTGGTGTATTATCAGGCAGCATCAAAGGACGCCGTTCTTCTTACCTTCTGGCCATTTCGACAGAGCGATCGAAGTCTTGTGATGAGGGTCTTAACACTTTGAAAGAAGAGGGCCATGTTTTGACGTAAGGATGGACACCAAGACTTTAAAAGTTGAAAGGTTTTGTTAGTGGTCCAGAAACAGTTTTTTTTTTTTTTTAAACATGATAATTTTTCAACTCTCAAAACACTCATGTTTAGTTCCACACAGGGGCAGCGCAGCTTTTGGTGGCCAATGCTGGCCGCGACCACCCACACATTCGTTCCCAAACTTACTTCATATTTGCTCAGAATCGTGTTTTGGCTTGTGTGATTTTGCAACACAAAGTTTGTAAATTTTTGTGAAAAGCTATTTTAACGGTTCCACAACACCCCTTACAAATTTATACGCAAGCAGCCCCAGTTGTACGTGTCGTCAAGATCGACGAAATTTTGGAGTTATATGTAACAGCCCAAGACCTACAAAAAAAAAAGTCACTTGTATGTATTCAAGTTAGGTGATCCTAGACAGGTGCAGCGTAAGATGCCCGACGGTGGCTTCACTTCTCCCTACGGCGAGTAAGGTAGCATTAGTAGTCCAGGTTATCATCTACGTCCACATCCTGTGCATGTGCACCTGTGCTCACATGCGCATGTGTACCTGTCATCCGATGGCCACCCCAGAGTGAGTCATTTTGTCATCCTGGCCATGGTACAGAAAAGGTTCTGGCTCCACCCCTGGTTCTATCTGGGTCATTATCCAAAAGTGTCAGAAATGAAAAAATATATCTACTTTTAATTCCTACTGTATTTCCTATCGTATTTCTGTCTTTAAAATGGGTCACATTGACCCGCAACGTAAGAGGAAGAGAATTTACATGTGGATGTTATGTCTTACAGGAGACTACCAAAAAGAGTCAAGAGTTTTTTCATTGACGGGGTGAGTTTTTGCTGCTGTATATTTCATTTTATTTCATTTTAACCTTGCACAATGCTGCCGTGCAAAGTCTTTTGTTCGACACGCTGTATTGTGTGTTAGTCCCTTGAGAGTTTAAAAGCTCAGGAGGAGGCACGGTCCAAGCGCCACTCCACCTCGGAACTGGGGAGCATCACTTTCAGTGACATCTGCAAGGAGGGCTGGCTACACTACAAGCAGATTCTCACAGACAAGGGGAAGGTAAAACTTGCTGTTCAGACAATCACATGAATTATTGGCAACTTTGGCAAGGCAGTAAACCAATTTATTTGACTGGGATGCCAAAGAACGACACTTTCACGGAAAACGGTTACCGTATTTTCCGCATTATAAGGCGCTTCGGGGTATAAGGCGCACCTTCAATGAATGGTCCATTTCAAAACTGTTTTCATATATAGGGTGCACCGCATTATAAGGCGTATAGAATAGAAGCTAAACTAGTGGCTGCTGTTGCATTATGCATCCACTAGATGGAGCTCGGCTAAAGGAGTACAATACAATCGAGCTTTATTTATACAGCGCTTTCACAACCGCTGCAGCTGTAACAGAGTGCTTTACAGAACATTTAAAATACTACATCCAAAAATGTGAATATTGATCCATATATAAGGTGCATCGGATTATAAGGCGCACTGTCAGCTTTTGAGAAAATGGAATTCTTTTAGGTGCACCTTATAGTGTGGCAAATATGGTAGTTTTTGTCAGACGGTATTGAAGAACAGAAACACTTTGAGAGTCAACATGATGTGAAAGCCAAGGCAATGAAGCCGCTTCATTGCTTCTTTTTGTCTCCTCACTGCAGAAAGTTGGTAGCAGTATGCGGACTTGGAAACGCCTCTTTTTCGTGCTTCGTTCCCGTGTACTTTTCATCTACAAAGACAAAAGGGAGGCTATTCTTCACGGGACAGGGCCTGGTTCAGGTCTGGATGAGCATCCCCCAATCAATATTTGTGGCTGCCTTATCGATATCGCTTATCGCGAAACAAAGCGCAAGCACACCCTGAGACTGATGACCCAGGACTTCTGCGAATATCTACTCCAAGCTGAAAACAGGGATGAGATGTTGGCATGGATCAAGGTTATTACAGAGAACAGCAAGACCGACAATGAGGTCAGATTAGGTCAAATTCCATTCTTGGAAAATGAACTCACTGCTGACATGGTCACTGATTAAACAGGTTCTTTCCGTTTATATTAGGAGATTGGTTCCTCAAGACAAGCGCTTATCAACAAGAAGCTGAATGACTACAGAAAACAGAGGTCAGAATGGTGATCGAAATCGAGCAAAACTCCTTGCTTGATCACAACTGTCCCTTACTCGTTCTCAGTCACTGTCACTTTGAACTCAATGCTTGTCAAAAACCTCTTCCCAAAGCGTAATTGCTGTTTCTACTTTTTGTCCTTCATATAAGTGAATGACCTATGACAGCTCATAAGTGATTAAAACACACACACAAAAAATGCTCAGGGCAATGACACGACAAAAAAAGGTGCAGGCTGCAAGAACATTAAATGTTGTCAAGTAGGGGGCCGCAAAATATCATCCAGCGGGCCACAAATGCCCCCCAGGTCACATTTTTCAGACCCCTGTGATAGAGGCTCATGTAATTGATGGTTAATAAAAAACATTTTAATCAAAATGAGTTACATTGACCAATTAAAGAAAATTGACAAACAGCATCTGCCTATGCATTTTTTTTGGGGGGGGGGGTCTTTTTTTTTTTTTTTGACAATTACGCTCACATTTTTTTGTATGTTTTTGCCACAGTCTTACAGGTAACAAACCAGATTCTTCCCTTAAAAGTCACCGGATGATGCCTCCCTTTCTTTTGGCTAAGAATGACAACACCACAGCCAATCGATCATCCAAAAGCGGTGGGTACAAAATATGTCTTAGCTCTTTATGTAATCGAAACAACGAAGCCGCACTGACGCATCTATGGACGTTTTTGAAAAAAATGAAACAAAACTCTTCTATCTGTAATTCTATCCTATAAATGTGATGTCTTATCCGGTCTCAGTTGACAACAAGACCCCGTGGGGCATCAATATAATGAAGAAGTCCAAGAAGACGGACAATCCGAAGGCTTTTGGCGTGCGCCTTGAGAACTGTCAGCAGGCCGTACACCACAAAGTAAGCCCGATGCATCTATGGACGCTTTTGAAAAAAACGAAACAAAACTCTTATATCTGTAATTCTATACTATAAATGTGATGTCTTATCCTGTCTCAGTTGACAACAAAACCCCGTGGGGCATCAATATAATGAAGAAGTCCAAGAAGACGGACAATCCGAAGGCTTTTGGCGTGCGCCTTGAGAACTGTCAGCAGGCCGTACACCACAAAGTAAGCCCACCGGCAAAAGACCAAAACAAACAACAAAAAAAACCCTCAAACAAAACAGTCAAAACAATTACATGACACATGGGATTGGCATGGCACATAAAACAACATACAATCAATCATCCATTATCCATGTGTTTTGATGATATTATTACTCCATCTCTGTGACAGTGTTCTGAATACTGTAGGGTATTATGGCCAATTTGGATTTTTTTTTTCAGGGAGTTCTTCATGTTCCAAAAAACAAATGCAACGTCTCATGTGAACGATCTATGTCCGTGAAGTGACAAACATGCGGCAATAAATAAATAAAATAAACACCAAATAATCCAACACATTTTACATCTTCTCTCGACCGTGTTTCTCACCACTGACTTTCCCATTCCGTCACTTGTCTCGCCAGTTTGTTCCGCAGATTGTGGAGATGTGTTGTGGTGTGGTCGAAGCGACGGGTCTAGATTACACCGGAATTTACCGGGTGCCAGGAAACAACGCCATGGTGTCCAACCTGCAAGAACATCTCAATAAGGGTTTTGATATCAACACTGCTGAAGAGGTGCGGCACACACAAATCAATGGAAATCTGAATCAATATGATAGTTGGAATCATTTTGTGATCGTAGCTCATTTTTAAGTGGACATCAGAAAAAATATTGTCTCCGTCTTCCGTCTCCACAGAGATGGCAGGATTTGAACGTAATCAGCAGTCTATTGAAGGCATTTTTGAGAAAACTGCCTGAGCCGCTGTTTACTGACGGTTTGTAAAGACATTCTTAAATTGTGTGGGTGTGGAAATGACCACCATTAAAAAAAAAAAAAATAATAATTAAATCCCAATATATTTTTTTGCAGACAAGTACATCTACTTCATTGATGCCAATCGGATAGAAGACACACGGGACCGCCTGAAGACTTTGAAAAAACTGGTATTTCATTTGAAAAAATAACCATCAAGATTTTAACAGTGGGGATTGCTATCGATAATTTGTATTCTTCCAGATTCATGACCTACCAGATCACTATTACCACACCCTCAAGTTCCTGATGTGTCACCTGAAAAGGGTGGCAGATCACTCGGAAAAGAATAAGGTGAGGGCTCCGAAATACATACAGCCTGTCGTATACAATTTCAAAACATTGAGCGTGGATACAGTAATATTTCATATACCATTTCCAGATGGAGCCAAGAAACCTGGCTCTGGTGTTTGGGCCGACACTGGTGAGGACATCAGAGGACAACATGACAGATATGGTCACCCACATGCCTGACCGCTACAAGATAGTAGAGACACTAATCTTACACGTAAGAAGGAATAACTTCTCTGTCACTGTAACACAAACGACCGTTACTGTACATCTTAAAAGTCACACAAAATCCATGCTACAACGCCGGTTAACCGCCGATATGTTAGTCCATTCATTATCTGAACCACTTCCGTGCTAGATTCTATCTCAGCTGGTTACACGCTCAACTGGTTAGCAGCCAGTACTTAATTTTATTAATTTTCACAGATTAGAATCTTGGAAAGTAGCTGTGTTGATCCATATATAAGGCGCATCGGATTATCAGGTGCACTGTCGGCTTTTGAGAAAATTGACTGCTTTTAGGTACGCCTTGTAGTGTGAAAAATACGATGAGTTGTGTGACTTTAGGACTACCATATTTTCTGCACTATAAGGTACTTCGGTGCATAAGGCGCACCTTCAATGAATGTCCTATTTTAAAACTGTTTTCATATACATGGCGCATCGCATTGAAAGGAGCATAAAACAGAAGCCACAATAGTGGCTGAGGTTGCGCTATGCGTCCACTAGATGGAGCTCTGCTAAAGGAAATACAATACAATACAGCTTTTATTTATGTAGAGCTTTCACAACCGCGGCAGCTGTAACAAAGCGCTTTAAAGCATTTAAAAGAAATCAGAATATTGATCCATATATAAGGCACATCGGATTATAAGGCGCACTGTCGGCTTTTGAGAAAATTGAATGCTTTTAGGACCGCCTTATAGTGCGGAAAATACGGTATTTGACTTTAGAGGTTATGTTTCCTTCATGAGACGCATTAATTTGTGCTGTCCTGATTTATTTGTCTAGTGTGACTGGTTCTTCTCTGGCGGAGAGCTTGATAAGCAACAGAACGCTCCAGATGAGGAAATGCAGCACATGCCAAACATTGACCATCTGTTGTGCAACATTGGGAGGACAGGTATGCCAGGAGAAACGTCAGGTAAGGATCGGGATACCGTTTAGTCAGAAGAAATTCCGTAACATTCTCATTGATTGATTAATATGGATTAAGTTCAGTGTTCCAAATGTTTATGCATATACAGTATGATTTATTTTGGATAAACAGGCGATTGATTGTTTAGCTCAGACAGGTTCTGAACATATTTTTCTCAGCCTAATTGGGAAAAAAAAATTGTTAAGGGGGTTGTTGTATGGGTTGGAAGAATCTTTTGGTGGATAAGTAGCGCCCCACCCATTTTCAGCCATCGACATTCGCAAGCTGAGTACATGGGCACTTTGACGTCAATTTCAGTCCATAGCACGGGGCAACTTCAGCAAAAAGGTAGCAAAATATGACCGGTAGTTTGGTCTAGAATAATGGGGGGTGACTTAGGCTAGGTCAGATTGCCTTGCCAAAGGCGAAAAACCGAAGAGCTGAAAAAAAAGAGGAAAAAAAAAACCCTTCTTCTGATCCATGTTTAGTGTGGTACACACCATGTCACTATACAGCACAGTGACTACTTGTTCATATGGTCAAATTCTTTTCACTTATTAAAAGATGGGTTCAAAGAATATTTTTCATACGTGTAGCATACCGATAGGCTGGTGTGATACATGGCCTTTCTACAATCGACCAGAAATATGTTTTCAACCAGGGTTTTTATATCCTCGTTTCATTGTGTATGACAGCAATGAGTTGAGCCACCCCCTACTCATCGACTTTTTGCACTATTGACTATGATGCACTATTAGCTAATTTTGTCAGGTGTAACATAATCAGAATGGAGACAAAAATTAAAGCTGCATTCAGGCCCTCGTGGCCCAGGCTCGTCAAAGACCTCCGAATGATGCGACGGTCCTTCGAAGTATACAGAGCGACTGCAACTGTATATTTATGCCGCCAATTCAGAAAAAAAACAAAAAAACAATAGGTACTGGTCATGATTCCATTTGTCACTGTGCGATTTTTGATACTCATAGAGTTTTAATAGAACTTAATCGGAATAGGAACCAGCAGTGTAAATCCAACAATCTACGCAAATGAACTTCCAAAACGACATTTATTTTCATTTATTACTTCTTTGAATCTCCTAGATGCAATTGATTATGTTTCCAAATCTTTCTTCACTGCTTTTTTTTTTTTCCTAGCTGAAACAGTGGATCAGCTTCTTCGGTAGGACCAGGCCTTCCTTTTGTTTGTTTGTGTCTGGTGTTGCGCTTGTGTTTCACTTGCCATTTTCATTCCATCAGTCTGTACGGTATGCACAAATTACAACCAATCACCGTTGTCATAGATCTCAAAGGTGAACTCTAATCTGTCTCGGTCGCTTCATTGAAGTAAAGGTTGGACTGAAATGTTTTGAGTTCTCCTGAAAGGTTTACAGCAGTAGCTCATCTATAAGGACTTGGGCTTTCAAATCGGAGTGTCACGGTTTGGAGTCTTGCTGCAAAGAAATATAAAATGGCAACGTTTTGTTGGAGGGAAGCTAGTTTCCTGACGACTCTCCATGTGCCCTTGAGTCAGCCACCATCTCAATATGCGTGCCCCTTGAACTGTGACGTCTCTTCTGCATGCTTTCGCGTGATCTGATACTGTGTTGTGGAACAGAAATACAGTATACACCAGAGTATGACTCAGTGCTCTCTGTTGTGTTGTTGTTTTTAAATCAGATGTCGTTAATGTGTAATTTATACCTGTTGTGGGAATTTGTGATCATCTCGTTTTTGCTTCCTGACAGATTCCACCACCAGCGATTCAGTTAAGGCAAAGGTAAGCAAAAATAAGTCTGAATAATGGCATAACTGAATGGAATGCAAACAAGTGAATGACAGTCCCCGAACTTTTCAGCGTTGTTTGAGCTCATTGAAAGACCCGAACGCCAGGGAGACCCTGTCCAAGTCCTTCGCCTCCGCCGTGACCCGCAAACGTAAAAAATGTCCCAGTGGCCACCTCCCAGACGGCAGTTCAGATGAAGGCTCTGTGCACGGACCGATGAAAGCCAACAATTATGGGCAAACGGAACAAATGGATGGTAAAGAAATGATTGGCAGAGACAATGCAGAACAATCTGTTCTCGCACAAATGAGCACGGTTGACAATCGAAATGGGGTAACTCGAACCACCGTGGGAAAATGTGAAAGCTATGTGGTAGAAAAGGAATTTCAAGCAGCCAAGGATACAAAGTCTGACAAGCAGAACACAACTGTACTAGTTTGTCCGAAGAGCTTCCGCTACTCATGCAACCAGATAAATAACACATACCCGAGACCTTTACCGACCAGTCCTCAAAATCTGACACGGGAACGTTCCAAACTCCCCATCTGGATTTTCCCAACGAGGCTTCGAGACCTCTGCCAAGCTTCAAAAAACCAAAGCAATCTGCAACTAGTCTGGAGTGAGCCAGTGCCAATTTTCAAAAAGAAATCCAGAGGCCGAAGGACTAAGGCATTGTCCTTGAACTTTGACATCCAACTGGATGATATTGTGAGAGAACGGAAAACAGAGGATGTGGAAATCATCACAGCTCACGAACGAGACACTCCTCATCATAAATCACAAATAAGCCCAGCCCCTGGTCTTGTCCGGGGGGAAAACTCTTACTCGTTGTTAGTTGATCACAATTTCCTATCATCTTCCTCTGTTGCTCGACGGCGGTCAGGTATGGCTACACTGGACAAGAGGAAAGCCTGGCATCGCCACTCCGTGTTTGTTTAACTCAAGCACAGCTCACATTCACACACCCGTCCCTTCCCGCATATATATATATATATATATATATATATATATA